TACGAAAGTAGTGATTCACATTGGATTTGAATCGCTCGAGATTAAACCCATTTAGAAAAATGTTCTCAGTAAGTTTATTACACATAAACGCAGTTCTTCAGATGAGAGAGTTCGAAGTGTACTGAGTTGAACCTCAAAATGATGAGCAGCCACAGTCCGTCGCGTATTTCTGATATGTACCGCTCTTGATGGAAACTGTGCCAAGTCACTTGAACACCTCCAGTGAAAGTATCTATAGAAGAGAGACCTTTCTTCAATGTTACAGGTTATCGAGGTTGCAGGTGATGTTCTAGTCCCCAATCAGGCGGAAAGCTCTTTTCTGGATGGAATCCAGCAACTTCAGGGTATGTTCGGGGCATCAAAAGTTGCTGAGGTGTGTAGAGTTTTCTGGTTAGGAAGAGTATTTCAAGCTTTTGAGAAGCAGCCTTTGCAATTCCGGCGACATATTTGTGCCGAAACATATTGATGTTCATTTTAACCCCCAACAAACTTATCGAAGCAGAAAGCGGAATTGTCTGACCTGATATTGTTATATCTGGTTCGAAGACATTTATCTTCTTGGGGAAAACCGATGCCTGGGTTTCTGTGGCATAGAATTGAACCTGGTTACTTTCACCCCAATTCGAAATCACTTCTATATCATCATTAAGATATGCAACCTCCTGCTGCCGGTGAAGATGTGCCTCCGTAACCGATGTCCAAATGGAATGACTAAACAAGTGTGCTGTCGCAATATATTGAATTATTGTTTTTTTCCATGGAGGACTTACAAGAGGAGGTATCCTGTTGATCTTTGTTTCTGAAAGCCATAATAATGATCGCTCAAGATGTTAAAGCCTTCCAAATAGTTGAGGATATGGTGGTTTACGACTCTCTCCAAAGTCTGCAAAATACTTCATCAGGGCCATACGCCTTGTTGATATTGATCAGTTTCAAAATTCTCCTGACTAGATGTTGTCAAAAAGTAATTTCCGGCATTGTGGATTCTAGTATGGGAAAAGTGGGTGGTGCCTTTTCCAGAAAATCGACTGTGGAGTGGGACGCAAATTGTTCAGCTGGTAGATTTGCTTTTTCTATGACTGTTGTTGCAATTGAACCATCTGCTTGTATTAGTGGTGGAATTCTGGATTTTGTGAAGTTCTGATTAATAGCTTTAGCTACCGACCAGAAGGATCTAGACCCGTTAGAATTGGCAAGCAGTTTATCCCAAATTCTCTGATTGCGAAGTTATTTGCTTTCATTCATTTGCAGCTGTTGCGAGCATTGACAAACCTAGTTCGGTTTTTGGCACTGAGATTTTTGCGCCACTGCCGGTAAGCGAGATATGTTTCTGTTTGAATTCCTGTACTAATTTATATTGACGTTGATCATTTGTATTAGTTGCTAAGATAAAATATTAAATAAAGTACGGTCATTCGGTCATATAACGAAATCTTATACATTTAAGGTAAAAACTTCTGTTACGACGTAGTCAAAGGCTCAGGGAAAAGTCTGAAAGTCAGAAACTAGCTTCTCAAGTTAAGTCTTGTCCGGTGCTATTGAAATCTCATAGTTCCATAACTGAAAGAAGTTAAACCAGACTGCCGAAGACGAATATGAGCGAAACATTTGAAATGCCTAATCCGGTACCGTCGAATTCTCGAAGTTCCAAATGTAGCAGAAGTCAAAAACAAAGTACAGGAATTCAAACAGTAACAAGATATTCAGAGGCGACAGCAATTTTTGTTGAGCAAAGGTTGGCGGTTGGACTATGATGTATGGAGACAAATTAAAAATATTGTTTATGCAAATCCTGCAACAAGAAGGAAGGATATGGTTATAAGACGTAGATAAGTATGTCCTAGATGCCGATGAAAACAGTCGTCCTGCTAATGACAATTCGAGTAAATGAATTGCTGAAAGTGGACAGAAATGTTTTCGAACATATTTTGGAATGATTATTATATTTTGCGCGAAAAAACAATGCTATATTATTGATTTTTCGCTTCTTTTATGAAACAAATAGGATAAACTTTTTTTTAATTCACTATTCATTCACCTGAAACACTATTGCAGTTCTAGGTTACGTTGCCTTGATGAAAAATACTCAGTCTTCGACTAAGTTATCCCAAGCATCAGAAATGAGCCGTAAAAATGTTTTCAGAATACTTCATCAACACAAGTAGGTACCACCCTAACAAAATGAAAATTTCTATTTACAATCCCATCGGTCATGTAACAAAGCAGAATAAATTCACCCTAAACTAGATACATTCTTTTGTCAAAAATATATAGTCGGATGCGGCACAATACCACTTGCATCGATGAAATATAATAATAATGATATAAAAACTTACCTATTACTGGCGCCTTGAATTTAGCCCCGAAAATATAAACTAGTGGATGCAGAGCTTGCACCAACACAAGATCGAAGTGATTTTCATCATACTTCAATAATTCTTGAACATCCCTCTGATGCAACTGCGATTCGACAAGTTCCTTCATCATATTTTCAATAAACACGATTTTTGATACGGAGGATTTATGTTTCCCTAAATTACCAGCCAAGTCCTGTTTGGCGAGCAAATCATATGCGAATCTAACGTCTATTTCGGTGAGGTTTCTCAAATTGGGGTCGTTCAGAGGATTGGGGGTTATTACAGTAACTTCGTGCCCCCTGAGAGAAAGTTCTTTCCAAAGCGGTTGGAAGATTATCTGGTGGCTTAACGAGGGAAACTGAAAAAAACCCAAAATCTTCGCTGAATCTGCACACGAAAAACAGACTAACACGAACAACAATAATGTTGACATGATGAATTGCAGAGTGATACTAATTTTCAAAGGATGCAGGAGCTCCTTGAATAACAGCAAGTCGGCGGATCCTTCCTTGAACAGGTTAATTAAAAGGAGGGAAATACCGAAGACCGCCGTTAACTTACTCGAGTGTGTTTTCAAGTTTCGTAAAGGTCAGGGCAAGTTGGATGGCCATGCTGGGTTTTCTATCATTATCACATCCAAACCGTTTGTAATCAATGATTATGTGAATTTACATACTCCGAAAAAAATACATTTCAATAAACTTTCAAACACCTCGTCCACTAGATGGAGTGACATTTTTGTTGTTCGCTCCAACTTAAGACGAGGAATGAAATACTCTGAAAGAATTTCGATTTTCAATAGTGAAATATCATTGACTTTAGATCGATGATGATCACTATCTTGCACTGACGAGTGGTTAAGGAGCCCGAAACCGGTCTGCAAGTGTGCCCGTTCCAAAATTGAAGGTCGACTATTTAAGCTTGAGATCAGTTTAGAAGATGCTCGAAATGGTTGTCTTGAACTTCTTGACATATGAACAGCCTATCCGATATTTCACACTGAACTTTTTCGAACAGAGTAACGTCAATATCTCTAGTCAGTATCTCTACAAATATTCATTATTCTCATCTGTATCTCCAATATTGAAGCGTGTTCAGTTTCGTACACCTTTCGCTTCAAATAGCCCCATAAAAATGTCCAAATGTGTCAAATCTGGCAAGCGGGCTGCTCATTCTGTAGGACCTCGACAGTCAATCCAACGACCAGGAAAAGTAGTATCCAAACAGTTTCTTACTTGTCTAAAGTAATAATGTGGTGGTGCTCCATCTTGTTGGAATACAATATTCATATCGAATTTATTAGGATTCGGATTTCAGTGATGGGAGGGTCAACATTAGTTTCCAGCATATTCGAATACAGTTCTTCAATTAAATTTTGATCAATAAATAGAGGTCCTACAGTATGGTTTCCCAATATTCCTGCCCGAATGGTAATTTTTTCTGGTTATCGGGTATGTGTTTCCCGGAAAACGTGAGGGTTGCTGTCATTCCAATAACGACAATTTTGTCTGTGAACATTGCCGTTTAAAAAAATGTACATTCGTCGCTAAAACAAATATTGTGGAGATAGGTAGGATCCTTGCAATGGTTTCCGTCATGATTTCGCAGAATTCTGTTCTTCGATCAGGGTCATCTTCAGTTAATTGATGTACCATTTTAATTTTGTATGGATGATACCTATTCCTCTTCAAAAATCTCCACACAGTAGAAGCAGACACCTCACAAACATTCGCGATAGAATAAGTAGACTGTTCAGAATTTACTACCATCTCACCAATTATTTGCACTTGCTGTTCTTCCGGAATGGACGGATGACCTGGGGGCTTTTTATCATGTCCACTACCGGTAGTTTTGAATTTGGATATACGTTCTCTCAAATAATTCTTACGGATAGGACAATTCGGAAAACGTTCATCCTTTCGGTTTCGTGAAAGTTACGTGTCGCACCATAAATGAAAATCGCTTCAATTTTTTCATCCAATGGACGAGAACTGACCATTTTCGAGATTGTTGACGTGGTACCTTTCTACTAGTAAAACCGAAAACTAAATGAGAATATAAACTGAACGATGATGTTCATTGTCGACATTTCTTGTAGTTTTTATAAACAAAAAATAAGTCAACAAACCTTATCGGGTTTGGAATTGTCATATGGCAGATAAAAAGGAATATTTCCAGAAATATCGATATTAATGTGTTCGTCTTCAGGAAATTATGAAATGTTCCACCATTTTGTAGTAGGTGAAGGTATTGACTTTATATTCTAGGGTTGTGAATTATTCTTCAGTAGCTTCAAAATGATGTGTCTCAAGACCCCCTTTCCATTTAATTTTTTTCCCAGTGACGTCCAGTCGCCATCCTGAAAGCTTCATCTGTCAATTTCACTTCAAAATAAAGTATTCATGCATTAATTTCATTATCCCAAATTTCAATTTTTTGAGTTGACCCGTTCAAAAAATGAAAGGGCGGGGGGGATTAAAGAAATGCACTGTATAATTAAACTGTTTCGGTGAATAAATATTGTCGTGTCCAAACTTGAACAAGTTTTTGAAAGAGGGTAATTCGATTTGTCGAACACCAGCTCAGTTTGTTCGAAAAATAAGCCTTTCATCTTCCTTTATACCTTATATAACAATATTCCTCATTTGCTTGAAATGATTGAAATCAATTATTTCAACTATATGTATCACACCCGTCATGTATTTAGTTGTATCGGGGAGCCAAGAGCCATATGGTTCAGTGACTCTTAAGAGTAGCTAATAGTGCTTGTTTAATTATGTTGTAGGGTCTGTATTTGACCCCAATATTCGAGTTCAACTTGACTTTCATCCAAATTTTCCCAATGTTATTGAATGTTTCAATTTTTGTCATATCATCTCATTTATTATGGAAGTTCTCGGAATTTCAGTGAAGAAGGTTAATTGCAAACTCAGATTCAAAAAAAGTGTTTAGTTGACAAATGAAAATCAAAGTTCATTATAACTAGCACTTGTTACCCTTGAAATATTAATGTAAACTGAGTAGAAATCTTTAAAAATGTTCGTGAAGTGACAACTGAAATTTTAATTTCCGGAAATTATAATTTGCATTGACAAATCATTCCACATTCACTGAATGCTTTTCACATGTGACTCGCTAAACTGGTTGTTGTTTATTTTGGGTTTGGGAATACAACCAAGTATATAACCCAAACTTGAAGTTAACCATGTACTATATAATTACTTGAATCGAATTTCCATTCCGAGCAGTTATTTAAAGTGTCAGTTTTACAGTCTTCGTAGATTTTCCAATTTGATTTCATTATTGAATCTGAGTAATGTGCTCGTGATTATAATTGAAATTCGTAAAATCAGACAACCCTAGAATATGAAGTCAATATCCTCACCTACTACAAAATGGCGGAACATTCAATAATTTCCTGAAGACAAACACATTAATATCGATATTTCTAGAAATATTCCTTTTTATCTGTCATATGGTAATTCCAACAACCCGATAAGGTTTGTTAAATTAGTTTTTGTTTATAAAAACGACAAAAAATGTCGACAATGAAGATCATTTTCCAGTTAGAATATTCTCATTTACAGTTGAGAATTCAAATGATTTCGTATGAACAAGTCATATTCATTAGCTGATTGAAGGAAGATGATTTCATTCATGACTTCGACCCTTTGCCATAACACAAACGATAGAGCGAACGGTATTTCGATTCACTTGAGCCTGAAAAACAAATATTCCTTGATACAATACAAGATAGTGCTGCAACCGGGGCAAATCATCACAGCAGAGTCCTATTGTGAGAAATTCAACGAAATATACCGAAAACTGTCTAAGCAGCAACTGGCACTTGTCAACAGAAAAATGCCAATTCTGCTCCGCGACAGCACCCGTCCGCACGTTTCACAAATCACCTTTCGAGAATTGTAAGGACTAGGACTAAGCAAAAACGGCCTTCGTCGATTCATCGAATTTCGAGCACGCAATTTTAATGCTGACGAAATCGATCGACACGTGTTACGTTGGCGAAAGTGCACTGATTGAAATAAAAAAAAATGAATACAATACTAATTTATCAACTAGAAATACCTGATGAGAGTAAACAAAAAAACTGAATTAAAAAAAAACATTTAGGAGAGTTAAGCAAAAAATTAGTTGAGAACTTGTGTGCAGCAAACTAGGAGAGTAATTGAAAAAAAACATAAGTCAGGCGTAGTAAGTAAAAACATAGTTCAGGTGTATTACAAAAATACATAATTTGGCTGTATTAAAGTAGTAGTAATAAGCTCACACGGTAAAGTAAGTTTCAAGTTAGGCTGATGTATTTTGACTAGAGTGTAAAAGTTTCTCAACAAGGTTCTTAACTTGACCAATAGGTTCATAATATATGTAGAGATTTTCACAGAGTTGATTGTGGAGTTTGCTCATTGCACCAACTGGTGACTTGAGTAATAGAATTTGGTGGATAAAACGTCAGTTCATTTCTAGAATTAATTCGTGGAACACGAAAGTTGAAGTGGGAGAGTAGTTCGGGACAGTTAATCAGTTTATCCACTAGTTTATTAATGGAAATCATAGAGTTGTAGGTTCTTCGGTTCTCAATTCAATTCGGTTCAAATATACTTTATTGTCTGAAGAATAAATTTTCATTGACAAAGCCTTTTGCGAAATATAAATAATATATAAATGAAATCACAAAAGTAAAATCACTAAANACTCAAGAGATTTGAGTCAAACCAGTCTTTCACTTTCGTGATGTCATTCTCAATAACTTCATACAACGTATGATTGTTAGGAGCATGCCACAACATAGTGGTATAATCAGCAAATGAAGTATATTTTCCTTGGATGTTATTAGACGATAGGTCATTAATGTAAATTAAGAATAAAAGTGGACCCAGTACCGAACCTTGTGGGACGCCGCAAGTAATTGTACCTGCATTTGAGTATGAAATGGTTTTGACCATCTGGGTGCGATCTGCTGAGTATGACTCAAACCACTTATTCCAGTAATACCGTATCTACTGAGTTTCCGTGAAAGAATTTCATGATTCACGCAATCAAATGCTTTGGCTACATCACAGAAGACCGCATCCACTGTTTCTTTGTCATTTATGTCATTGTAAAGAAATGAAAATATGGCATAGGAAGTGTTTTTTTGCTTTTGGAAACCAAACTGGCAATCAATTATTATTTTGTTCCCATTCAGAAAGTAAAGGAGTCTTATTTCAACTAATTTTTCTATCAATTTAGCCATTGCAGAGATTAGATAAATTGGACGAAGACTTGATGGACCATTAATGACTTCTTCAAAAAACTGTAAAGATTCCTTCTCTAAATGAATTATTTATTAGACCAACTAATATGTCGAGGATTCTCATAGGAATATTTTCTAGGATTTTTATAGAGATTTCATCTGAGCCTGTGGAGTTTTTATTTTCAATGGAAAATAATGT